CCGCAAATTATCTTGTCAGTTATCTGCTGCGAACAAAACATGCTCAGCTCAGACTTATCTAAAAAGTGGTGGGAAAATCGATATTATAAAAATATTTATGAATCACCGCAAATTCTCTTAGACGTGCTCTTATCAGTTCAGACTTAGTTAAAACTGGTGGGTAAAATCGAGATTATAAATACCTATGAATCACCGCAAATTACCTTGTCAGTTATCTGCAGTGAACAGACGTGCTCAGTTCAGACTTAGCAATTCCCAACGCTCCTCCGTGGCCATTCCCCTTACCCTCTCGCGAGTGCGCGCATGCGCATGCGGCTCGTTCTGGTCTATAGACATATGATCGCTAATGATCTTGAACAAAGATGTCCTGATACACGAACCGCCAGAGGTACATCAGAAGTAATGTTAGTATTGTGTGTGCGTGTTTTTTGAACACGCTAAGTCGTGATGTACATCACGTGACGTACGTCACGTGACCTACGTGACGTGCGTGTGACAGGTGACGTACGTGTGACAGGTGACGCGCGTCACGTGACACGTGACGCACGTGGCACGTGACGTGCGTCACGTGACACTTAACGCACGTGGCGTACGTCACGTGACACGTGACGGGCACACTTTGTTCAAAAATACCAAAAAGCTGTCTTGATAGCCCGAACCGCCAGAGGTACAACATCAGAAGTAATGTTAGTGCGTGGTTGAGGTTCAAAAACTTAGCGTGTTCAAAAAAAAAAACGTACCTAGACCAAAAGTCATTCTAGACCAGTCACTCTAGACCAAAGCACAAAAAAAACGCCGTTTTTCAACGCCTTTTTTGTCACCATTCCCCTTAGTAGCGCGCATGCACATGGGGCTCGTTCTGCTGGTGCTGGTGCTGGCGCGGGCGTAGATAGCGTTTGTGGTAAGGGTTGGGGGTAGGTCTTGTTCTCTTACCACTATCCTATGGTACACAACAAACAAACTTACTCGTGCGCGATAAGAGAACAAGACCTACCCCCAACCCTTACCACAAACGCTATCTACGCCCGCGCCAGCACCAGCACCAGCAGAACGAGCCCCATGTGCATGCGCGCTACTAAGGGGAATGGTGACAAAAAAGGCGTTGAAAAACGGCGTTTTTTTTGTGCTTTGGTCTAGAGTGACTGGTCTAGAATGACTTTTGGTCTAGGTACGTTTTTTTTTTGAACACGCTAAGTTTTTGAACCTCAACCACGCACTAACATTACTTCTGATGTTGTACCTCTGGCGGTTCGGGCTATCAAGACAGCTTTTTGGTATTTTTGAACAAAGTGTGCACGTCACGTGTCACGTGACGTACGCCACGTGCGTTAAGTGTCACGTGACGCACGTCACGTGCCACGTGCGTCACGTGTCACGTGACGCACGTCACCTGTCACACGTACGTCACCTGTCACACGCACGTCACGTAGGTCACGTGACGTACGTCACGTGATGTACATCACGACTTAGCGTGTTCAAAAAACACGCACACACAATACTAACATTACTTCTGATGTACCTCTGGCGGTTCGTGTATCAGGACATCTTTGTTCAAGATCATTAGCGATCATATGTCTATAGACCAGAACGAGCCGCATGCGCATGCGCGCACTCGCGAGAGGGTAAGGGGAATGGCCACGGAGGAGCGTTGGGAATTGCTAAGTCTGAACTGAGCACGTCTGTTCACTGCAGATAACTGACAAGGTAATTTGCGGTGATTCATAGGTATTTATAATCTCGATTTTACCCACCAGTTTTAACTAAGTCTGAACTGATAAGAGCACGTCTAAGAGAATTTGCGGTGATTCATAAATATTTTTATAATATCGATTTTCCCACCACTTTTTAGATAAGTCTGAGCTGAGCATGTTTTGTTCGCAGCAGATAACTGACAAGATAATTTGCGGTGATTCATAGGTATTTAAAATTTCGACCTGTTTTTACCACTTTAGAAAAATCGTTGTTTACGAAAATTAAGAGATAACCTGTCATCTTTTGCAACCGTGTGACAACAGTGTTCCAGGGTCACCGCTGTTATCGTTGGCCAATATTAACTCGTTGACACCCCCGCGAGCAGTACTTCTTGCATATCACCGCTACGACAACACCTTCACTGAACGACTATCTATCTAACCTCATTTGCGACATAGGTGATTACCAACGCACCCGACCCCGCCGTCCACCATTCAGCTATACCATCAACACCGTTCAAATTTCCCGCCGTCTGATCCACCAATCAGAGCACCCCGGTCCCAAAAACTTCTGTCTGACCGACCTGTATGGCTGAGCGACCAATGGGTATCACCATTTTAGGACACGTCTTGCTATATACGACAAGGTCCGTGTCTCCCACGAGCAATTCCACACACACCTCCCATGTGAATGGAGCTTATTTCGATCTGACGTTATACCGTCGGTTCATCGACCCGTCGGTAGGGCCCCAAAAATTTCTATCGACCCCTGTATGTGGGTCACTCTACGACACCAGTGCGACATCGACACCATCTAGCGCTTAGAGACACAACTCACACTTATCAATGATACACATAACGTTTGACAGATGACGTTTGTATGTAGCGTCATCTAGCGGCGAGAACCACAGACTATCAGGTGATGGGTAACCTGTCGGGTATTTCATTTCAGGCTACTGCAAGATGGCATATCTCAGCTATTTTACGAAAATTGAAGTTAAAATTTTAATCACTTTCTATTTATCATTAGACCTATAACCTGTAAATGTATGCTAAAATTATAGCACTCCGGTCGGTGTTGCCTTAGAAATACTATGAATTTTTCTTCCAAGAATCGCCCTCGAATTCTATCTGTTTTTATTATTGTCTTGCGTAAGACTTGCTATACATACCTAAATTGGGTTACAGAAACATTTCTGCTTCATCCCACATTCCCAGTTTATCGTAGTATTTAACTATTTTAAAAAAGTAAATGTCATAAATATTAATACTAATATAAACGTAACACTTTTCAACAGTTCATCTTCAAACGAAGACATTTGTGGTTTAATATTCACGAAGGAAAGATCAACTGCCAAAAATATTGCACCATGTACTGAAAGATTTGAGTGAACATGTACCAGAGTTCAGACATATAAAGCCGGATTTCGTTGTGGGATATAACGGAAACTCTTTTAATAGCACCGTAGAATCACTTCCGATTAATAAGAAGAACAGATAAGTACTTGATCGTTTTTAGAAACAAGGAGATTAACATTTTAGTGGCGCCAAATGTAAGAGAAGGTGTAGATATACCAACTTGTACTATGGCTGTCAGGTAATTTTATTCACTAGTTTCTCATTGATTCGCTTGAATAAATCAAGATATGCTAGAGGAAAGCTCGTCACCGATAAATTGCATATAATCACTAGCTCAAGCATTCTAGCCAGATCTTTGCATATCAATTAAAATTAAGTTTGAGTCACTGTTCGTAGGCTCTAGGGTACGAACGCAGCATCGGTTTCGACCGAATTTGGCCAAAAATGCCCCTTCGACGACACATTTGGTCGTAGGCTCATGAACCCTACGGGCAAAGGTTTGGAAAAGATCTGGTCGCGTACCAAGCGGACATAAACATGGTCAGCGTATGAAAAATACTTTTTCCTCAACAATTAAACAATTACATGGCTTCTACAATATCTGATTGTTACTTTCTACCATATTCTATCCGTAATTTCAACAAGAATATTAAGTGACTCTACTTTGTTGCATTTTGTTTTTTTTGCTAGCGCCATAGTCTAACCTTTTACATGCACAAAAATAGAGGACCCACCGGTAAATTGTCGATACGGCTGACCAAAGAACTGAGGAGATTATAAGTAACTATTCTAAATTAAGTATATTTCGGTGTTTACCCTGTATCCCCTACCATTTATAATATATTATTTTGATTTTTTAATTGTATAATTTTAAAAATATCTGCATTTTAATAGTACATATGTTTTATTATCAACTTTGTAGATTAATGTATGGTCTTATCGTGAAACTGCTTTTGCAGTAACTATTATTTCCGTTATAACGGTGGGAAGCAAATATGTGTTTTCATATCCCAACGAATGTCAAAGGAAACAGTATTATCGGATACCAGCGCTGATAGATGTTATGCCTTTTCAGTATGTGTTTTTTTCTGTAGCCTTCGGTTGTCTCTGGTGCTGTTTCGAAGTTCTATGAGGTTATCGTGCTTCTCAATTTTTTCGGTGCTCATAAAAAATAGTATAGCTATTATCGAAAATATAGTTTTTATTTCTACTTTTCGTAATAACCATTTACGTAGTGATACGAAGTTCTACATGGTTATCATGCTTCTCAATTTTTCGTGCCCGTGCAGTACAGTGTTGGTACCCGTGCAGTGCAGTGCCCAACACGTAAGATAGTAAAATGATTATTATTGTAAAAATAGGAATTCAAAACTCTATTTTATTAGTAATAATCGATTACTTTTACGTAGTTTCCTCTCTACACTGCTTATGAATCTGCTGTATTTTTTATTTTCCAAGATATGTTTTTTTGTGATTATACAAAGTTCCACATGGTTACACTGCTTCTCAATTTTTTTGGTGTATATTACTGCAGGCGTTTAATAATAACAATGCATACTTTTAAATATTTTATATGGAGTAAAAAGGCTGAACAATTTCGGGTGCAAAAATATTTTTCAATTAGGCGGGAAATAAAAAACAAAAAATCATTTGCATACATTTTATTTTACATGTTTATTAAAAAATATTTACATACATTAATAAATCAATACTTTATTTTCTTAAATCCAAATGGTACAGAGGTATGATCTTCATAGAATTTCCTTTTCATTGAAGTTATCTTGTATACCTTAGGAAACTCGACTGTTACTACTGCATGCTCTCTTGTACGTCGTAGCTGTCGAGAAAGTACAGAAACAGGATCAGATTTCTTCAGCACCATGTCTTTTATTTTCTCAAAATTGACTACTTGGGATGCCTTGTAGTTGAGTGATATGCCTTTTACTTTACATACGATCTGTTCCTCTCCAGACAAAGTAGTATATTTGTAGGCGTAGTTCTTAGGTCCTCCAGAAACAAACTCTGATATGAAACCCCCATTGAGCTCATCGGTCATATCACCTATGAAGTCGCCTGTAGATATGTCGTCTAATCCCTTACGAGAGATATAAATACATGAATCTGTATCTACGTAAACTGCCCTTTCTTCCACTTTCTCCAAGAATGAATATAATTTTAGTCTAGCTAGGGCCGTGACATATGAAGCCAATACAACGTTAACCGTTGAAGAAACGTCATAGGCCTCTTCTCTAAATTCCCAAGTTATGAGAAGGGTTTCTTCGTTTACCGGGAGAACTGTATTTACATGAATAGAAGGATTAGTCAGCATATCAAAGAATTCACCACAGTCTCTGACTATTGAGGTTTTGTTTTGGTTTTCTTTTTGAGCAAATTTACCCCAAAAGGAATTCAGCATAAGTTTAGCTAACGATCTCAAACAGGGGTTCTCTATAATTTTTGAAAATTCCAGCTTTATGTCTTCTCTATCCAAAAATGCATCAATATAACGGTTTTTTTCTTCATCCGTTAAGCAATGTTTGGGCCATCCTGAAGCTTGTTGTTTTATTTGTAGAAACTTGTTCATCATTCCGCTAAATAACCCCTCTTGGTCTTTACTGAGCTGAATTGTATCGTATTCCCATATTTCGTAAGTCTCTATAATCTGGTAACCTTTTTCAATAGCTTTGAGCACCTCTTCTATCACCCAAGTTCCTTTTAGGCTTCTTTCTTGAATAGAATGCTGACACTCTTCTCGAACGAAATCTTCACCACATTTTTGACAGTTAACAAACATCAATTTGTTGTTCATTTTTGACGGTAAAACGGGGTGATATAAGTTCTGGTTCGGTAGAATCTGGCATTTAATAAGTCCTGACATCTGCGACAGAGAGGCTGTAACACATTCTTCACCTACGTAAATTTTTTTTTGGATGACCCACCGGAAATTTTCCATATTTACAGATGAAGGGGTACAGGGAACATATATCGACATATTTTATGCATTCATTTGTTTTGATCTTGTAGTATTCAACGATATTTTCTGTACGTCCCCCGTAGAGAGCGTCTCTGGGGTTAATCGGTAAATTGATTATCAATGGATGTGCTTCTGTGAAGGCTCTAATTTCATCGTTTAGCATTCCTCGAAATTGACATTCCCATATCTCAATTACTTCTAGTCCAAGGCTTCGGAGTCTCTCTACTTTGCTAACTGATTGTTCGTATCGACTTTCCAATGTATTCAACGGATCATTATGCAGAGGATTGCTTCTTTTGTATTTGAAACATCGAGGGCAACCGTGAAAATAGCATCCTTGGAATTCAAACACTTGATTTGTGTCGCTACAAAAACCGTCTACTTTATGTCCCTTAACAATGGTTTCTATACCCTTAGCGGCGTGTTGAATTTTGATTCCTCTTTGATGTTCCTCCCACAACAGCCATTGGATGGCAATTTTTGACTGATTTTCACGCCATCTATAGCCCCCTTTTGGAATTACCCCGATCGTCTCAGGTTTTAAAAAATTGCGTCTAAAGACTTTGTTACAGCATGATGCAATAGTGGTGCTTTCCTGGAAGGGATCGACTGTGGTTTCGGTTTTCATCAGGTCTCGAAATTTGAGACACGCCTGTGTCAATATTTCCACATCGGAGATACAGTATTCAACGATTTCTTTCTGAAAATCAAAAACGTATCCCTCCGCTTGTCTTTCGCCATGCCATTTTAATAATTTTTCCCGAGCGTCTTCCTTTAAATGGTCGGGATCGTAGAAGTCGAGCGCTGGAATTGGCCCTACATAATTCTGATGAGCCAAAGTGTTGAATAAATGTGGAAAGTATCCTTTCTTTAGCTCTTTCAAATCAAACGCCTTGGGTAGAGCAGTTAGAGGCATAGGAAAATAATTGAGAGAATCCAGAAATTTTACATTTCCTACCTCCATCAATATTAATTTTGTTCCTCTCATAATTACATTCGGGTACAGACTAGTCTTCTCTAAAATGTAACGAAGTAGAAACTGATGATCAAATCCTCCACCATTATGCGCCAGTACAATGACTTTCTTGAATTTTTTACGAAGTGTCAGAATATGATGCATAAATGGAGAAATGACGTCTTGACATCGAAGAATCTGTATTCGAAGGCCACATTTCTTGCATATAGGATTATCGGTACATGATTCACAACATTGTTTGAATACACATAGATTTGGCTCATGCAGTAAAGATCCATTGGGTAATTCCTTCTCCTGACGGGTTTCCAAATCGTAAAATATTAATAAGACATCATTTGATTTAGGAATACTTCTGTCAGGCTGTATATAGCACATATGTTCAATTGGTTGATTTTTATAACATGTTTTACAAAGTATATATCCGCAGATGTGATCATTACCGTTGTGAACTTTAAAACAGTCTACACATCTTTTAATTTTAGAACAGACCGATGGTAAATGAGCGTTAAAACATTCTTGTCCATAAAAGCTTCTATTACATTCTTTGCATTTGATGTGCTTCGTTTTCAGGCAGGCCGGAGATCTTTTACAAGCATAACATTGTTTATCACATCTATGAATTTGTTTAGTATTATACGGAATGTGGCAGTTCTCACAAAAAAGCTGCAGCAAAAGGCAGCAGTGAGGGATGTTATGACGCTGTAGTGCCCCTCGTGATATATTAGGTTAAGCGTCGGACCAGCGGACACGCCTTCAAAAATGACGTCACGACCTTTGCACCCAAACTTGTATACAACAATTTTGTAGTTTTGCAGATATCGTTGTAGCTTTTGAAGTTCAGGTATTCCACACCCCTCCTCAGGGATAACAATATCAGCCTTTTCCACAAGTTGTACAGCTCTTTGTCCTTGTATTTTTCCTCGATCACGGCGGATTCTGCTATAATCTTTGTCTTTGTTCAAATGGGCCATGGCGATGACAAGGGCTCGTGGGAGACACAAATTATCGGTGTTTTTAACGGTGATAATGCCTTTTCTTTTGGCGCATTCCTCATCAAAGGTATTGAAATTCTGAGCTCTACCACGACCAGCAGGCAACCTTACGGACGTAATACCCAAGCAAAAAGTCTCGGTATTCAACCCCACAGAATTTGACTGATAGATGGAAGATATCTTCTCCCATATGTCCTCAGTTGAAACGTCGGAAAACAATTTAAAAGCTATCCATCCTTGACCGCGGGTAAAGTCTTTGGAACAGAAAGTGAATCCAACTTGATCACTGGGCTGGAGATGTTCAGTTCCTTTGGCTACTATTTCCTCCAGAGCGTCTTTGATCCATCCCACAGGTTCGACGTCTTTAGGGATAGGTCGTATTTTAAATTCCACTTCTCGCCCATATAGATTAAATTTTTTAATCTTCTTAGTAGAATCCTTAACGATGAAGAATTTTTCCATTTTTTAAAAACTAAAACGTTAACTAGCGACTAAATCTGAACTGAGCACGTCTGTTCGCTGCAGATAACTGACAAGATAATTTGCGGTGATTCATAGGTATTTATAATCTCGATTTTACCCCCACCACTTTTTAACTGACCACAGTGTTTCAAGGTCACCGCTGTTATCGTTGGTCAGTATTAACTCGTTGACAGCCTGCGCTTCCTGCCCATTCACCATGCTTAACAGCCCCGCCCGGTACTTCTTGCATATCACCGCTACGACAACACCTGCCCTGAACCTAACCTCATTTGCGACGTAGGTGATTGCCTTGTTGAATTTATTAGATACACAATATAGACTGTACTATGTTTTCAATATTGTATCAATGTTAAAAATTAACTAACATTAACTGTATGCACCACATATGAGCAATTTCCATTTTTATATGCACACTGAATATGACGTGTTGATTATTGAGATCATCCTATACGCATTGTTTCCCGCGAATTTTATACGTTTTTCCATTTAAACTGATCAGCAGAATGCATCTATAAATATCATTATGTCATGGGACTTTTATCGATCTATATGCAAAATATTTACCGCAAACATGAAATTGACGTCACATCGCTTACGCATAGACGTTATACTACACCTTACTATCGTCGGCTGTCTTGAATCACTTCGGTCGGTGCGCCATCTAACGGCTCGCCCAAGCAACATATACCATCCAACCGTTCAACTTTCCGCCGTCTGATCCACCAATCAGAGCACGCGGGATCTAGCGGTTCCCGCCAATAAACCTATACCTCAACCCGTTCAAATTTCCCGCCGTTTGATCCGCCAATCAGAGCACGCGGTGGATCTAGCGGTTCCCGCCAATCAACATATACCATCAACCCCGTTCAAATTTCCCGCCGTTTGATCCGCAATCAGAGCACGCGGTGATGTGGTGGGCGTGGCCAAAAAGTGGAAGTGGTGGGGGGCGCCCAGAGTGCACCAGTATCTATCATTTCTTGCATATAGGATTATCGGTACATGATTCACAACATTGTTTGAATACACATAGATTTGGCTCATGCAGTAAAGATCCATTGGGTAATTCCTTCTCCTGACGGGTTTCCAAATCGTAAAATATTAATAAGACATCATTTGATTTAGGAATACTTCTGTCAGGCTGTATTAGCACTAATGTTCAATTGGTTGATTTTTATAACATGTTTTACAAAGTATATATCCGCAGATGTGATCATTACCGTGTGAACTTTAAAACAGTCTACACATCTTTTAATTTTTAGAACAGACCGATGGTAAATGAGCGTTAAACATTCTTGTCCATAAAAGCTTCTATTACATTCTTTGCATTTGATGTGCTTCGTTTTCAGGCAGGCCGGAGATCTTTTACAAGCATAACATTGTTTATCACATCTATGAATTTGTTTAGTATATACGGAATGTGGCAGTTCTCACAAAAAAAGCTGCAGCAAAAGGCAGCAGTGAGGGATGTTATGACGCTGTAGTGCCCCTCGTGATATATTAGGTTAAGCGTCGGACCAGCGGACACGCCTTCAAAAATGACGTCACGACCTTTGCACCCAAACTTGTATACAACAATTTTGTAGTTTTGCAGATATCGTTGTAGCTTTGAAGTTCAGGTATTCCACACCCCTCCTCAGGGATAACAATATCAGCCTTTTCCACAAGTTGAACAGCTCTTTGTCCTTGTTGATTTTTCCTCGATCACGGCGGATTTGCTATAATCTTTGTCTTTGTTCAAATGGGCCATGGCGATGACAAGGGCTCGTGGAGACACAAATTATCGGTGTTTTTAACGGTGATAATGCCTTTTCTTTTGGCGCATTCCTCATCAAAGGTATTGAAATTCTGAGCTCTACCACGACCAGCAGGCAACCTTACGGACGTAATACCCAAGCAAAAAGTCTCGGATTCAACCCCACAGAATTTGACTGATAGATGGAAGATATCTTCTCCCATATGTCCTCAGTTGAAACGTCGGAAAACAATTTAAAAGCTATCCATCCTTGACCGCGGGTAAAGTCTTTGGAACAAAGTGAATCCAACTTGATCACTGGGCTGGAGATGTTCAGTTCCTTTGGCTACTATTTCCTCCAGAGCGTCTTTGATCCATCCCACAGGTTCGACGTCTTTAGGGATAGGTCGTATTTTAAATTCCACTTCGCGCCATATAGATTAAATTTTTTAATCTTCTTAGTAGAATCCTTAACGATGAAGAATTTTTCCCATTTTTTAAAAACTAAAACGTTAACTAGCGACTAAATCTGAACTGAGCACGTCTGTTCGCTGCAGATAACTGACAAGATAATTTACGGTGATTCATAGGTATTTATAATCTCGATTTTACCCCCACACTTTTAAACTGACTGACCACAGTGTTTCAAGGTCACCGCTGTTATCGTTGGTCAGTATTAACTCGTTGACAGCCTGCGC